ACCCCCCAAAAAAAAAAAAAAAAAAAAAAAAAAAAAAAAAAAAGATGCCCAATGGGATCTACAAATGCAATGTAATTCCTATCAAAACTCCAAGATATTTTTTACAAAAATAGAGAAATCTGTCCTAAAAATCATATGTAATTTCAAGAGATCCTGAATAGAAAAAACAATCTTGGGAGAAAAAAAGGCCATCTCATTCTTCCTGATTTCAAAACAGTATAAAGCTATACTAATCAAAACACTGATACTGGCACAAAGATGGGCTATAGATCAGTGATGGCAAACCTTTTACAGCTTTCAATGATATAAACAACCTGCTGTGGCATGAGTGCCATAGGTTTGCCATCACTACTATAGATCGATGGAACAGAATGCTGAGTGTAAAAAATAAAATCTTGTATATATGATCAAATGATTTTCAACTAGGGTACCAAGTTATTCAAAAGAAAAGTTTTTTTATTTTTGAGACAGGGTCTCACTATGTAGTTCAGCATGGCCTTGAACTCACTAGGTGGCCCAGGCTGGCCTCAAACTTATTATAATCATCCTTCTGCCTCCTGGAGTGCTGAGATTATAGGTATGTGCCACCACACCTGGTTAATAAGAAAAGTCTTTTCAACAAATAGTGCTAGGAAAAACAAATGTCTACGTGCAAAAGAATAAAGTTGGACTCTTACCTTACATCATATACAAAAATTAACTAGAAATGGACCGAAGACCTAAATATAAAAGTCATAACTATAAAACAGAGGGCTTGGGATATAGCTCAATCACAGAGTGCTTTCTAGCTTATGATAGCCTCTGGGTTTGATGCAGATATTGCAAACAAAAGCAAAGCAGAGCAAAATAAAATTAAACAACTAAAACCTTCCCAAGAATAAAAACTAAAACTCTTAGAATAAAACATAGGAGATACTAGCTTTATAATGTTGGATTTAGCAAAGATTTCTTGGATATTATATTAAAAATAAAAACAGCAAAAGATGATAAACAAATATATCAAAAATTTTTGTGTATTAATGATGCTATTAACAGAGTGATAAGGCCATCAATAAATTGAGAGAAAAATATTTGCAGACTATGTATCTGATAAGGGGCTTAATTTTTTTTAGGTACTGGCAAAATTTATTCTAGAAAGTAAAAGTGAAGAATGGAGGAGAAACTGGCTCTCTGAGTGAGCTTTGGCTAAGTAAAAGGAGAAAAAAGCAAGATAAAAGGACACCCTGGGGAAAGCAGGGCTGGCTACCATGAGGAAAGTCATGACAGCCAAGGGGCTTAATTTTTGTTCTTTGGTTCAACTTGTATGCTAGATGATTTACCTCTGAGTTTTTTTGCCACCAAATCGAACTTCTTCTCTTAAAAGAGAAAAATGTGCCTCGTGACTTGTTAATCCAAGCATGATCTGTGGAAAAATGATTATGAAATGTTTCTATTCTCCCACTACTTATTTTATCAGATTCACAAAAGCTACTAGAAATATTTCTACACAGAACAATAATTAGTACATTAAATATATAAATACAAAAAATATGATCCATTTGCAGAATATGAATGAGATAAAGTAAGTGTACTTTTCTAGGAAAAACATGTTTAACTTTGAATCCCATGATGTTTATAACTGCTGTTCTGCCCATTCTAGCTTTCTTCTCTCTATAATTCCCTAAACTTTCTTAATTCAAAAAACAACCCCAAACATTCTAAATTAACTTTCAACTAATTTTCTTATATAGTATTCTAATCCCCAAAGTTAATTCAAAAGTCTAATGAGACATATCAATAAAATGCAATGTACACTGCTTTGTTTCCAATAGCAAAAACCCCCGCAAGTTTATGATGCAATCAAAGAGATGACAATACGTACTGGTATTTACATATTAAGCACTGACTATTAATTTGTTTTATGTGGGATGACACTGTATTTACATATTTTATTTTAGCCAGGCTTGGAGACACACACCTGCGATTCCAGCACTTGGAAGGCTGAAGCAGGAGGATTGACGCTAGTTTTGGAGTCCAGCCTGGGCTACATAATTCAATGCCAGCCTGACAACATAGCAAGACCCTGTTTCAAAACACCAAAAATTAAAAAAAAAAAAAAAAAAAAGTTATTTTTAAACTGTAAAAAACGTCCTTTAAAAAATTATGTAAAAGGGCTGGGGATGTAGCTCAGTGGTGCCACCACCTGCCTCACAAGCTCAAGGTCCTGAGTTCAATCCCAAGTACCAAAAGAAAAGAAAAGTAAAAATGTACAGATTAAATGATAGAATGTCTGGGATTTGCTTTAATAACCCAGAGTGGTATGGTAGAAGAGATAGGAGACAGTTAGGGATGGGAGTTAAACAATTAAGTAAATGAAGGACACAGGAAAGGTCATCATACTATTATCTTTTAAAATTTTTTTAATTTTATTTTTATTTTTTGTAGTACTAGGAATTAAATCAAGAAAGAAGTGAGCTACATTCCCAGACTTTAAAAAAAAGGTATTTTTAGACAGGGTTTCACTAATTGCTCAGGCTGGCTTTGAGCTTTCAGTCCTCCTGCCCCAAGCTCCTGTGTAGGTGGGAGTATAGGTGTGCTTCATGCATAGTTTATCTTTCCTATTTTCATTTAGTTTGACAATTTCCTAATAAAATGTTAAAGATTTTTAGTAAAGGTACTTGGGTCACAGAGTTGTCAGAAACAGTCATGAGCCTGAAGGTAAAAAAAAGATTCCATTTCCTGACATCAGAAGGATACTTGCAGCAGTTGGGTTAGGCATATTTGTAAAATATAGAGACCAGTTGATCATAAAGATGGCAAAAATCAAAACCGAAAACCCTTTATTTTCCCAATTGTTTTAGAATTTTAGTAAGGGCCAAAGAAGCAATAATTATTATGTCTTCTATATTTGTTACCAGTAAGATTCCTGTATGACATTAAATCTTAGATATTTACTTACAATGGCATAATCTTACATAACAATATTATACCTACCAAGTCAGCATCTAGACCATAAAGACAGTGTCTGGTGTTTGGGTTATGATCTGGCTTTGCTTTTTCGGATCTGATAAATTCCATGATTTTATGTTCTCCTTCTCCGGGAGTCTAAATATAATGTTTTAAAAAAGTATGGTAAAATGCTATGCTTCAGAATATTAAATGAATTTTTAAAAATTATTTAAAATAAAAAAAGATGATAACCTCATGGCCTGAGAAGTAGATGGTAACTCCTTGCCATGACTTGTCTGTGGAAATTTTCATATTTACAAAATACTTCAGATGTTCATGTAACCTGGCCATGAATTCAGTCCCTATAAACACAAAGGATTTAAAAAGTTAATCTGAGAAAGACATAAAAACAATGAGTTCTCAATGACAGCATAACAATCAGCTCTGGCTATCCAAGAAACAGGAGCATATAGATAGCATCTTTGAAAAAGGTCAAAAGTGTTCTTGTTTATCCTAAAAGCAAGAAATGTCAGGGCCAGGGATTTAGCTCAGTGGTTCCTCAGTGCCTGCCTCACAAGTGCAAGGACCTGAGTTCTAACCTCGGGTACAAAAAAAAAAAAAAAAAAAAAAAGAAATGTTGTACCATGCCCTAGCAAACATCCTGTTTCAAGTGACCTTAGCTATCCTGGATGAATTCAGTGTTGGTGAGGGAAAGTCAGGATTTATTGCTGTCTATGACTGTGCTTCACATATTTTTACATATTATAAAGAGCGAAGTTTAGACTCTAATGAACCTCAATCTTCTTTTGCTGGACTCTGTAGTATTTTTGTCAGAATGCAACTTTAATTAGCCTGCCAATAATTATAACAACAACATCATTATTATTAATCTGAAAATTACTGATCTGGAAATTGAGTTTGCAATGATTTTGTTTTAGGAAAATCACATATAATGGTCAAAGGCAATACAGTCTTAAAACTACAATCAGAATAAAATTGGTTTTTGAGTAATGTGTATCTAAGGCACGCTGCAAAAGATAAAATTACTATTGCTAATAAAGAATTCATGAGAAAGTTATATTTTAGTATGTTTGTTCAAGTAAAGGAATATAATGATGATAGAAAAAGCTCCTTAAGAGTATAGAGTATGCTGCTGTATATACAATTAAATTAACACATTCTCCTGGCTTGAACCACTGGTGATATATGCATGGCTGTGCAATCGGTAGCTTGCATCACCAGTAGTAGCTGCACAACTGTCCCATCGGTCAGCTTGTACCACTGATGGTAAAAGTGGGATAGTCATGCATGCACCACTGGTGATTCAAGCCACCTGGCAACAAGACATACAAATTGTGGCCCTGTCATGAACCTGTTTTAGTACTGATATATGTACTATATTTATTTTCCTTAAAGTCACAGAAATTTTAACTACCTTTGAGAGGTGGAGTAGAAAGGTGAATTAGGAGAATGGGTTTCTTATCCTGAAACCACAAATAAACTATACAAAATTGGTAAATCACAACCTCATCGAGACTGTTTCATACTATTGGAGAGTCCTGAACCATACCTGTTCTTATTAATATCTGAAATTCCTACACTGGGACTTTATGAGACACTTGTGACTAATGTGGCCCAACTAGCTTATGATCAGATACAAGTGGGAAAATATATGGAAAATACTGGAACCCCAGGACCTAAATAAAGTCCTGTAAATAAAAATACATTTGAAACAATTAATTTTCAAATTAATTTTAATTTTTTCAGAATTTTTTTCTCAGTGAATTTACCTGGTGTAATACAGTTGGAATCAAACCTGGCCTCTGTAGGAAGTATTTCTCCCTTTTCAATTGCCTTTTTAATTTTGTCTTCTGCCTCCTTGGCTGACCTTACAGGTAAAGAAAAGAAAAGAAAAGAAAACAAAACAAAACACCTTAAACTTTCTGAAAAAAAGTAACCTTTCTATAAACTGCTATTTAGATATTTTAATTAAATATTAATTCATCAGTTTTAATGTTCAAGAATATTTGTTTTGAAATAATGTAATTGATAAGACTCAGATTTCTTTGTTTTTATAAAAGAACTGAAATTTTCATATAAGAACTAGAGAACTTGGATATCAAGACAGTAAAAGACACAACACATTATAAGCACTTTCAAAGTAATTTATATTAGAAATAGATGTCAAATTTAAGCCAGAAACAAAGTTAAAACCTCTTTATAGCTTTAGACATTATATATATGATAATTTTTTTTGTACTGGGGATCGAACTCAGGACCTTGCGCTTAAGAGGCAGGCACCGGAACCAATGAGCTAAATCCCCAGCCCCTGTGTATTATAATTTAATGATCTTAATCATTTTATTATCTTAAATATCTCTAATAATCTCTAAGAATATTATATAAAACACAATTATAAAATCATAGTTTTCTATTTCCTCCTACTTGACTGGTAAAATATGACATTATGAGTAGGAGATAATCCTATTTCTAGGGGAATTTAAACAGAAAATAAACATGACCAGAAGATATGCTGTTACGTTGTCTTTAAATGTTTTACCTAAAACGCCTCCCACGCTGTTGATTCATCTTTGCTCGAGGAGCGACACCATCAACAGCCATAAAGAACACTTTCCTAGGTTTAATAATGCGAAATAACACCTCCAAGTAGTGAAAAATGTCAGTAAAGATTTTGTCATCTGAAATTCTAAAGTGGACATCATCATCATTAGGATGAGAGCACTGATGTATAATTCCATTCATATCCAGGTACAAGTTGTCAAATTCAGGGATCTAAAAAACAAAGACACAAGCTTAAGATCATTAATCATAACCACGGATTAGCTTCTGTGGAAAGTGATTATTCAATGATTAAAAACAGAGTGTAGGCATTCTTATTATTTTCAAAAAATGGAGTGGACAATAACACTTGAATAAAGAAAAAAATGCAGAATGGAAGAATTGTGTATAGTTACATAATGGTCCAATAGCTTGATCAAATTTACTGTCAAGAAATGATCTACCTACACCAAATAAACTACCTCAGGAAAAAACCAAATAAAGTGCTTGGTTCATTTGGCACTCAAAATATTAGTTTCCTTCCTTTCTACTACTAGGTATTTCCTTAAAGCCTCTATTTCCTCTATAGTGGGTAACATAATGCCCATTTCTATCAAAAGGCTGTGTGTACGTGTTTATTATAAGGTTTTAAAAATGATTTAAAGCCTTATTGTATACTTGGTTTCATTACTACAGTCACCTGGTTTGATTACATTATTTTTATTACATTTTCTTAAAATCTTAAGATTATGCCAAGAAATTTAGGGAATGTTAAATGTTGTATGTGAAATTTGGATTAATTTCTAAACTCTGACTAACAGGAATCTACTAAAAAGACCTTTACTTTTTTCCATTTAAATGTTTGTGAGTAAGTAAGGAGAACACTATCAAAACAAATATACACAAAGAGGGAACTGAAATGGGTATATTAAATGTTACATTATATAGTGTAATCAAAGAATTTACAGTGGAGTTCTGTTTCACATGTTAAAGAAAATTTCTAGCTGGGCATAGTATGGAACGTCTGTAATCCCAGCACTTGGCAAGCTGAGGGAGAAAATTCCAAGTTCAAGTCCAGTATGGACTACATAGAAAGATGCTGATTTTTTGGGGGGTGGTATTGGGATTGAACTCAGGACTTTGTGCTTACAAGGCAGGTGGTGGCACCACTGAGCTAAATCCCTGGCCCAGTACTTTGACTTAATAATACATAAGATCCTAATGATATAACAGACAATGTGAAATAGGAAGAAAGGGGCCAAAGGTGTAGGGAAAGTGGGAATGGTAGGGGAAAGGGAATAAGGGAAAAGAAAAAATATGAGAAAGTGAAAAAATGGAAATAAAATGTTTTTAAAGGGGGAGGCAGGAGGGGTGAAGGGAGGGCAGGGACAGGTGAAAAAATGAGAACCAAGACCTGTCATGTAAAGGTACAAGATCCCAATGATGAATGTAACTGTACTGTATATCTAAAATGTACCAATAAACTCAATGAGGAAAAAAAATTACTCTTATGTGTACTAGAATTATTTTCTTTGACGTGTTTCACATAAGTGTTAATGTTGAGTTAACTTTAGTGTTTTTTTTTTTTCACAGAAAATGAAGTGCCTCCTTCCATGGGGAAAAAAAAATAAAAACATAATGGGCAATCCTTGTATAAACATAATGAAAACTACTTCTGCAACAGAAATTGAAGTTTTAAAACTGTACAAGTAACAATACAAAGGATGATAAATAATATAGTTATTGTCTAAGTTAAAACATTTTATTTTAGTAAAAGATACATTGTTAAGAATGATGTGGTGTGTTCTAAGTAATGGGGAATACTTTTGCATTTTGAGGGTTACAGGGTATCTTGCAATAATTTTTTTAAACTTAAACATTTACCATATCATTTGATCATTCTTTGTGGAGCAAACTGTTACAACCATTTCTGTGAAATAAAAAAATTACGGTATGTCCTCATCTGCTGTATTCACTGGATCTGGCACTGTGACCATGAATGGTAAATGTTTTGAATCAATTCAGGATGTGGAAGCAGCACAATTAACGACATTCACAAAGGAGGACATCCAGGACTGCGTCACAAATTGGCAAGAAAGGTGGTTAAACATGTCTGAGGTGAGGGATAGTACTTTGACGGGGGGGGGGGTTTATGGCAATGAGTCTTTTAGTTTAAATTTAAAAACTAGTTTTCTTATGGAGATTTCTCAAAAAACTAAAACTAGAAATTACATTGACACAGCTATTCTCCTTCCGGTTATCTTCCTGAAATAAAGACATCACATTATATAGTAATGCATGTATACCCTTGTTTTTGGCAGCACAATAGCTAAATCTTGAAAGACATTCATCAAGAGATGAATGGATAAAGAAAATGTGGTATTTATGCATAATGGAATACTACTCTGCCATAAAGAAAGACAAGCTTGAGTCATTTATAAACAAATGGATGCACCTTGAGACCATAACGGTAAGTGAAATAAATCAGACACACAAGCTTAAATATGGTGTGGTTTCTCTTATTTAAGAAACCCAAATTATAAATAAAGAGTAAAATAAAGGATAAATAATAGAAAGTAGGGAGATAGGATTACACAGGCATATGCCACCACACCGAGTAAGATAGGTGTTTTTTAAAATGTGAAGGTGCTCAAGAGATGGAGGGAAGAGGGAAAAAGAGGAGGAGGAGAGAGGTAGGGATGAAAAATAAATTAAGATGTGTTGTGTATATTACCAACTCCACACAAGGAACATAAACATTACATACTGCATACATGTACTGATGAAAAAAACTCAAAAACATTTAATTAATTTTCAATCATATCTTGTACATTTTACTATTTTTGAAAAAATGGCACACCTTTTGGGTGAAAACTTCTGGCCTTTCATGGATGCCCTATCAAGAAATCAAACAACCACAAATGCTGGTGGGGCTGTTGGGAACACTTTTCCATGTTGCTGGGAGTGTAGACCGGTGCAACCACTGTGGAAATCAGTGGGGAGATTCCCCAAAGAACTAGGATTAGAAGTCCCATTTGATGCAGCCATCCCCCTGCGGGGTATTTTCCCAAAAGAATATACTACAGTGATATATGTACACCCATGTTTATAACGGCACAGTTCGTAATAGCTAAAGCTTAGAAACAGCCCAATTGCCCATTAACTAATAAATGGTTAAAGATGTGGGCTTTTTGTTTTTTGTTTGTTTTTTTTTTTCCAGTACTGGGGACTGAACTCAGGACCTTTTGCTTGGCAGGCAGGCATGGTGCCACTGAGCTACATACCCATCCCTGGAATTGTTTTTTGTTTTTGTTTTTTTTTTTTAAATAAAACAGAGTACTACTGAGACATAAAGAATGATAAACTAGTGACATTTAGAGCTAAATGGATGCACACTGAGGCCATACTCTTAAGTGAAATAAATAGGACACACATGTGTAAATACAGGATAGTTTTTCTGGTGTGAGAAATGGAAAGTGCAAAAGACTAAAATGTATAATAGATAATGTGAGGTAGGAAGAAAAGGTCCAAAAGGGAAGGGGAAGTAGGTGGGGGGAGGAGAAAAACATGAGAAAAGAAGGAAAAAATGGAAACAAATACTTTTGTAAATAGGGAGGGGTAGAGGAATGGAGGGGAGGGATGGGGAATGGGGACAAAACAAGAACCAAGATACATCGTGTGCAGGTACAAGTTCCCAGTGATGAATGTGGTGATAATGTACACCTGAGATGTACCAATAAATTTCATGGGAAGAAAAATGTTTTGGCCTTTGAATCAGTGAACACTGCAAAAACATTTATAAAATAATCACTTATACAGTATTGTACTAATCATCATGTAAAAAAATTTAAATGCTCTTATTATGTAACAAACAGCCTCAACTGAAATGATAGTTTTTTAAAAATTCAAAATTTACAGTTTAAGAAATCCAAAAACCTCAATGAAAATTTTGAAGTATTTTTGGAGGAATCTTTACAAAAAAGATTCCTAAGTTTCTCTAGGACAGTGATGGCAAACTTTTCACAGCGTTCAGTGATACAATTAGCCACTGCAGCACGCATGCCATAGGTTTGCTGCCACTGCTCTAGGAGAATAAATATGCAATAATAGCCAGGAAGAATAAGGGAGAAAACATGCCCTTGATAAATTAAAAATAATAAAACAGTTTGAAGCAGGTAGCCCGAGTATATGGAAATTTATTATATAAGAACATTTCAAATCAGACAAAGAAAGGGATGGGGTACCAACCTATTTGGAAAGCAAACTTTAACTGACCTTATAACAAAATTCCAGAAGAGCCAGGCACATGGTATATATGTAAGCAGTCCCAGCTACTTAGGAAGCTGAGGCAGAAGGATTGCTTGAGCCCAGGAGATGAAGGTCAGCCAGGGCAACACAGTGAGATCACGTCTCAAACAACAATACAACTGAGAAGGATTAAAAAATTTAAAATATGAAGTGTAACTTGAAAAAAAAAAATATATATATATGGGTGTGGTAGTGCATACCGATCATCCCAGAACTTAGGAGGCTGAGGCAGGAGGATTGCTGCAAGTTCAAGGCCAGCCTGTGTTATATTTTGAGTTCAAGTACCAGGCTAGACTACAGAGCAAGACTCTTTCTCAGGAAAAACAAACAAAAAAACAAACAGGCAAAACCAAAATCACACACACGCACACACACACACACACACACACACACACGTGCGTGCACGTGTGTGCGCATGCACAAAGTATTTTGATATTTTTAGGATGGGAAAAGGCCAAAATCATGAAGTAAATAGACAGTAGCATAGAAATAAGATACTCATCATTCAAAATTTCAAATTGAAATGATAAATTATTTTCTCCATGTTTGTAAAGACTCATGATACCCTGCATTGACAGTGTTTTAGAGAAATGCAATTTCATGTTATTAAAAATAACAGCTGGCATTTACTGTGCACTTATTAGGTTTCAAACATTAGGCTAAATATTCATTCTCTCACTTACATATAATAACTTTAAAGATAAATATTTAGCACCTCCACCTTAGAGAAGAAAATCACAGAATTAGAAAAAAGAAATAGTATTTCTAGCCAACACTTTGAGATGAGAATATAAATCAGTGTAACTAATCTGAAAGTATGTGTCAATATTTACAGTGTGTGTATTTTTGCTTCAGGATTTCTATTATTGGAAATTTATTCTGAGAAATCATCAGAAATGATAAACTTATAAAGATATAAATTTTAA